TTTTAAATATATAAAAAATTAACTTCTTACTTATATAGATTCATTTCAAAAATAGCATTACTATCTAAAAGATACTTTAATTTTATTTTATTTTAAGAAGTAAAAAGTATATTAAAAAATAATATGAAATATTTTTTATTTTTAAAAAATATGTAAAAAATAATCATGTTTTATTTATTTGATTCAAAAGATATCAATATATTTTTAGATTTTTTTACTATTAATATTGATAATAAAGTTTTATTAATATTTTTTAATTATTTACTATTAAATTTTAAAAAATATAAAATAAATAAATTTTGAATATAAAAATATCTAAATTTTCCTAACATTGTTTTTGGACTTAATTCTTACTTTAAGTTTGTAAATTTAATTTGAAATTAAAAATTAACTTTGTTTGGCCAAGTTTATAGAAAATAGTGCAAAAAAAAAAAGAAATGTAATAAAATTGAAAATTAAATTAAAATAAATTAATTTAATAAATAAATTCAAAAAAATATATATATATTTTTAATTGATCTTCCTAAAAAACAAGTATATGTCAAATTCGAAATTGATTGAAAGACCTTTGTTGTAAAAATTATGTTTATATGTAATTAGATGATTTCTTTGAATATTAATTCTAACTCTAAAATTTCCTATTTATATATAAATATGTGAAATTGGTTTGCAAAAGTTCTTATATTATTGATTTTCTACAATAAAAAATAAAATAATAATAAATTATTTAGTAAATGTATTAAAAACTTATGAATGAGTGGTACTCATTAAGAGTTAATTTTTCTATTTTCTTAAATTTTAAAAATAAATAAATAAATAAATAAATAAATCTCAATATTTAATTTATCAAACTCGCTAGACTAACTAATTTTTTGCACTTCCAAAAGATTCTTTGAGCTATGCACTCTAGTCACGTCAAGTACAAACCTAGATTAAAACAAATATACTAGAATTGACAAAAGGGCTTATGATGCTCAAAATAGGCCAATCAATCACATAAAGGTTATAAGAGTATTATACTATAAAACATAAAGAGGAGCTGTGCAAGGTCACTTCTTCTTCATTGTAAAGTTTGTCCTGCTGAGAACAGAGTTCTCATGTCATGTCAAAAATGGAGAAAAAAACAGATCATTAAAAGTAATTTAATAGACATTTTTAAAGACGTGCATATTAAACCAATTGTCTTTCTTCTTTTCGTTCATTTGTTAAAATATACATATGGACACATACATTGAAAAGGATTGCTAGCCTCATTGAAGCATTAGTTTCATGTGAAAAAAAACAAATTCCTCTGTTTAACTAATAGCCAAAGAAAGACAAAGGCAACCTTTTATTCTGTTTAAGTTTAATTACATATGGGACTTGTTTTATTTTCATGAATGAGAATGTCTTGTAAGAATTACATACCATTGCATTACTTATTAAATTAGCAAATCAATTTCAGGGTTTCTACTGGTTAATAGTAGGTTTTGTGAGCACATATTATTTTTATTTTATTTCTATAAGGCTTTAGATTGATTTTACATTCTTCATATTTTCAGATGTAGAAGTTTTTTTTTTTTTTTTTTTTTTTTTTTTTTTTTGTGACACAATATCTGCACAATACAATAGGTATCACTATTTTCCACATTAATTATTCATTAGCTATATGTATGCACAAGTTTTTGAAAATACTTACAATTTCTATTACATTGTAGTTTTTTGTCAATGTAAATAACTATATAGAGTTCGTATTTGGAGTGTAATATATATATATATATATATATATATATATGCAATGTTATTATTGTATTTTTCTTTCATTTTCAATCTATATTCTGCATTGTATTTGGTAGAATTTCTCGTAGCTTTATTTTAATTCTTTTTTTAAAACAATCAGTATAGATAATGTTGAAACAGTTTGCTTCACTTTAAGAAATTTAGAAAAGCCCACATTTCATATGTACCTTCAAGCCACACTAAGCAAATATGAACATCACACTACATTATTACAAAAATTTAAAAAACAAATAAAAATAACTTGATAATATAAAATTACTAAAAACTCCTCATATATTTATATATATATATATATATATATATATTCACCCGTGTGTGTGTGCGCTGTTTTAGTTGTTTTTATTAATTTTTCATTATTCATACTCCGAGCTCAAGATCACGCCAACTCATGTGGAGCCAAGTCATGTGCGTGGCATTTCTATTTTCATCTCGTGGATGAGGATATAATATAGACGGGGTTTTGAAGTGGATGTATCGATAAGCTTCATCCACATTTATCCGTTCCACGACGTGCTGAAACAAGACTGTTTGGCGGTTGATTTATTCCTCGGATTTCATCCACGTTCATTCGTTATTTCATTCATTCATTCATTCTAGAGGACAATAATGCAACTGTTGCTGCTTGTGGGAGAAAGATGAATGAAATAATATTCAACGATAAATTATCATCCATCCGAGATGGAGTCCTTGTCCTTTTTAAGTCCTCCTTTTTCTTTTACTTCTTCTATTAAGTCAACCCCCCCGTCATGCCAGGCTGGCAAACATTGTCCTGCCCAAGCCTGCCCGATCCTGCCCGTTCCTGGACTGTGCTGCTTGCGAAGGGAAAAAGTAAAAGCTTAAAGGTAAAAGTCGAAATGCACTTCTCTTCCTCGCTCCAAGAACGTGCTTCTGGACTTTCGCTCAAAAAAATATTAATGAAATTTTTTTACTTGCACTTTGATACTTTACGAGTAGAATTATTTATGAATTATTAAGTTGATTTTTTACGCGTGAATTTCGAAACAGATTTTACACTCGTTTTTCTAGGTGTGATTGTCCAATTTTGAGAATGATGAATCAGCCTACTCAAATCAATACCAAGAAGTTTGCTTGACTTAAAGTGTGCGGATAGTGAATACAAATGACTGAAATTAAGTACTGTTTTATAAAATCATAGTGAGATTTCATTTCTAGATTTTTAGACAATGTCGATTTTGAGATTTTTGGAACCATGTTAATTTTCGTAAGATTTGTACTTTCCACAAAATTAAAATCTGGCACTAAAAAGATAATTAATTTTTTAAAAAAATGAAAACCTCGACATCTAAATTCTATAAAGACACTTAATTATAACTGTACGTGTTATGGTATACGTACAGATCACATGTATCCGACTACAAAATGTTCTCTAATGCAAAGTAGTTTTTGTTTATATTTCTTCTGTCCTTTATTTTGTTTTTTTAAATTTATTTATTTTTTGGACAATTGAAATGGCTTCAGTTATGTGAAGACTGACTGACCCCTTCAAAACAGTTGGTAAGCTTCGTGGATTAACGCCACGTGTCGTCCCATCCGCTGTCGCCACCCACACATATATTTTACACGTGGCATTATTGGATTGACCACGAATTTGTATGGGGCGGCATGCTTTCATCTGAATGGGGAACAGAGCCCCTTTGCTGGGCTGACCTTTTCCAGTGAAGGGAGGGGAGGGGGATAATTAACATTGAATCTTTTTGTTTTCTTGCTAAAACTCTTCCGTGAAATTCTCAATTGAGAAAAATAATAATAATCAGAAAACTTTGTAGGACCGAAAATCAATCATTGACAATAGGTTTGTTGATGATTGGTGATGGGGTTGGTTATGATATATCTTTCAATCTTTTGTAAATTTTTATTGTTTAATTATCTTATGTTTTAGATTATCAGATTTCACATAAAATTTGATACGCGTACAGAGTTCCACCAAATCCCCGAGTCATATACCCAAAAGAAAACGAAGCAACAGACAAAAATAGGAAAAAAGTGTTTGAAGGTGATGTTCTATTCTCAGATTTATTTATTTATTTTTCATGACACAGAGGAGATTTGTTTACCGTAGGTAGTAGTGTAAAAAACCGTATACAAAAAAAGAAAACAATATTTTCATTCATTTTTTTAATTGTTAGATGTACAAGAGATGAGTGTCAATTTTCAATATGTGATGCAAAGTGTTGATCAAGGAGATCAAGACACTTTTTTGAAACTCAAGGATATCTATTCTCTGAACTTCTTTGCAGTCAGTACGACCACACACACAGTGTCCCCCAGGCTTTACAAGAGCAGAGAACTCACTCAAGAAAGGAGGGGGGGGGGCACAGACATAATTCATATATAAATAGAACCCTAAGGGCTGTAGAAGACGTCAAAAGGAGGGGGGAAGACATGTGCCAGGCTTTGTTGTGTTGAGAGGTGGAGTAGAAGTGGAAGCATCATCAACAAAGCAGAATCTGGAATGGACCCAAACCCAAACCCCAACCCAAACCCCAAGTCAAACCCCAATCCCAATCCAAACCCCAACCCCAACCCCAACCCTAATCCCAACCCCAATCCCAACCCAAACCCCAATCCCAACCCCAACCCCAACCCCAATCCCAAACCAAACCAAACCCCAACCCCAAACCAAACCCCAAGCCCAACCCCAATCCCAAACCAAACCCTAACCCAAACCCCAAACCAAACCCCAACCCCAAACCAAACCCCAAGCCCAACCCCAATCCCAAACCAAAACCGCGCTGTGATATTT